GAAGACAACAACGACGACGACGACGAGGGCGGCGGCGGCGACAATGACGACGGCGGCGGCGACGACGGCGGCGCTCGGCTCGCGGCGCGCGGTCGCGGCGGCGCGCGCCGAACTGGATCACCAGAGCGGTCAGGTTCTCGTCGGAGCCCTTCTGGAAAGCACTGCGCACAACGTTCTTCGCCGCCTCCTCGGGATCGTTCCAGTGCTTGCCCGCACAATCGACCACATCCTGGTTGCTGAGGACGTTGTAGATGCCGTCCGTGGCAAGAATAAGGAAACTATCCTGCTCCGTAATGGGCATCACCTTGACCTCGGGCTCGGCGCTAGACAGAGCCGTCGGCTGCTTGAAGCAGAGGTCACCCAGGGAGCGGGTCATGGCCAGGCCCTGGTACTCTCTGCGGGACGCCTTGGACCCGCCCCGCGGGTTGGTCGGAGCAGCGATCCGCCACGCGCCCCGCACGTTGAGCACGAGGCCGCCGGCCCTCTCGATCCGCTTCTTCTCGTCCAGCCTTGGTGAAGGGCTATCACGACTTCTGCCGTCCCTCGACTCGCCCCGGAGCGGCCAGGATGTGCTCCAGAGTTCCCTGGAGATCTCTGGATGGTACTTGTTACCAGCCTGGAACATATCCCTATCCCTATGCTGGGCATCTCCTCATCACGATGCCAATCTTAGGGATTCCCTTATTTTTTGAGGGCGAATCCCTAAGACTGTCATCGCCTTTTGGAGTGTCAATCTTAGGGATAGGGATACGTTCGAGGCTGGTAAACTTGGGCTTACCAGGATTTACCAAGATCCACCTCGGTGTATCTACGACTCCCTTGACTGATCCGTCTTGGTCCCCACAAGTCGATTGGCGACAAGCCGTCAAGCCCTTGGGGAAGCCTGTCCGGCTTGTGGTCCTCGGACACGGCCACGGCCTGCCCCGCCCGGCAGAGTACCGCGCGCGAGTCCCCGACGTGCGCCAGGATGAGGCGGAGCGGCGTGCCGAGCTTCGGATTACCTGGAGAGCGGGTGCGTGGTCGGGAGTTGCCAAGGGTACCCCTGGCCCGAGGTGCCCCCAGCTTTCCGCGTTCTTGACTGCTTCACTTCTCACGTCGTCGTCGCCGGCGTCGTCGCCGGCGCCGGCGGCAGCGCCGCCGCGGCCGTCGTTGCAGGTCTTCGGGGGGCCTTCGGAAGCCTTCGGGCAACTCTCGGATGCCTCCCGAGGAGCCTTCGAGTAGCCTTCCAGTGGCCTTCGGGGGCCTTGCGCAGGCCTTCGGAGGGGCCTCCGAGGGGCCTTCGGAGGCCTTCGGGGGCCTTCTAGGTCGCCCTCGTCGTCGGCATCTCGTCGTCGTTTTCGTTGTCGTCCCCTGTGGTCGATCCTGAGTTGCGGGAAAATGCAACATCGGTAAAGATCACGACTGAAGACCTGAACCCCATCCTACTGTGGCAGTTGTCAAACGGGATCGACACTATGTGATGGCCCCAGGGCCCGAGACCATGCGAAAACGCCCGGTGCGAAAAAACTGCAACGCCCAGATCTCAGGCTCCGTCGTCGTGGCCGTCGCCGCCGTCGCCGCCGCCGTCTGCTTCTCGACAACCTTCTGGGAACCTCCCAGGTCGCCCTCGTCGCCGGCTTCGCCGTCGTCGTCGTCGTCGTCCGTCGCAGCAGGGGGAGAAAAAGCGCACCCACACTGCTACTCCACAGACCCGTCCTGGCCAGGACTTCGAAGCGAATCCAGCCGTGGGCCTCCAAACCAGCCCAGAAGGCAAAAACGAGGCAAGCGTCCGCAGACGATCACCCTTTTTTTCCGATACGGTCTCCCGAAATCAGATATCTTCCCCAGGGCCGGAGTTTCATCCCCAACCAGTTTTTGACAATTGGGGCCCGGCGAAGGCCCCCGGAGGCCGAAAATGGCCAAAACCTCACGACATGATTTTTACACGCCACCCGTCGTCGTCAACGCCGCAGTCGTCGTCGTCGTCGTCGTCGTCGTCGTCGTCGTCGTCGTCGTCGTCGTCGTCGTCGTCGTCGTCGTCGTCGTCGTCGTCGTCGTCGTCGTCGTCGTCGTCGTCGTCGTCGTCGTCGTCGTCGTCGTCGTTTTCGTCGTCGTCGTCGTCGTCGTCGTCGTCGTCGTCGTCGTCGTCGTCTCCCTCGTCGTCGTCGTCGTCGTCGTCGTCGTCCTCGTCCTCGTCGTCGTCGTCGTCGTCGTCGTCGTCGTCGTCGTCGTCTTCGTCGTCGTCGTCGTCGTCGTCGTCGTCGTCGTCGTCTCACTCGTCGTCGTCGTCGTCGTCGTCGTCGTCCTCGTCGTCGTCGTCGTCGTCGTCCTCGTCGTCGTCGTCGTCGTCGTCGTCGTCGTCGTCTGCTTCTCGACAACCGTGAAGCAGCGCCACGAGCGCCGTGGAGCCCTGCGCTTCGAACTTCTTCCGCTCGGCGAGGCCGAGTATCTCCTGGGACACGCCAGGCGGGGGCCCAAAAGCACAGGCCCACCCCCTCCTCCTCCTCCTCCTCCCTTCCATCCTCCTCCTCATCCTCCTCCTCCTCCCTCCCTCCTGCTCCTCCTTCTCCCTCCTCCTTCGCCTCCCTCCATCTCCTCCCCTCCTCCCCTCCTTGCTTCCTCCGCCTCCTCCCTCCGCATCCGTCCTTCCCCCTCTCCTCCTCCTCCTCCTCCCTCCTCACTACTCCCCACCTCCTCCGCCCGCCCTCCCTCCTTCCTCCCTCCTCCCTTCCCTCTCCCATCCGATCCTCCTCCTCCTCCTCCCCTCCGCCTCCTCCTCAGTCCTCGTCCCCTACCCTGACTTTTCCTCCTCCTCCTCCCCCAAGCTCCCCCGACTCCAGACTCCCCCCTCCCCCTTCCTTCCCTCCGCCTCCTCCTCCTCCTCTCCTCCCCTTCCATCCTCCCTCCTCCTCCTGCCTCCCTCCTCCTCCTCCCCCTTCTTCCTCCTCCTACTCTCCTCCTCCCTCCTCCTCCTCTTCACTCCTCCTCCTCTCCTCCTCCTCATTCCTCCTCTCATCCTCCTCCTCCTCCTACTCCTCCTCCTCCTCTTCCTTCCTCCTCTCCTCCTCCTCTTCACTCCTCCTCTCCCCTCCTCACCTACTCCTCTACACTCTCCTCCTCCTTGGCCCTCCGCCTCCTCCTACTCATCCTTCGCCTCCTCCTCTCCCTCCTCCTCCTCTCCTCCTCCCCCTCTTCCTTCTCCTCCTTCGCCTCTCTTCTCTTATTCTTCCTCCTCCTCCTCCTCCTCTCCCTTCCTCCCATCCTCTCCGCTACTTCTCCCCGATCTCCGCTCCTCCTCCCCTCCTGCTCCTCTTCTCGTCTCCCTCCTCCCGCCTCTTTCTCCTCATCCTCCTCCCTCCTCCTCCTGCTCTCCCTGTTCCTCTGTTCCTCTCCTTTTCCTTCTCTCCTCCTCCTCCTCCTCCTCCTCATCCTCCTCCATCTCCCGTCCTCCTCCTCCTCTTCATCCTCCTCCTCCTCCCTCCTCCTTCTCCCTCCTCTTCCTCCTCCTCTTCCTTCTCCTCTTCCCTCCTCCTCCTCCTCCTCTTCCTCCTCCTCCTCCTCCATCCCATGTCCTCATCAAGTATTTCCCCTCTGTCGTACCCCCAGACGCGTCGGTAGAGCGGGCTGGGCTCCTATCCTGAGGATTGAGATGTGAAGCGGATTGAAGGATTGAGGGCGGGTGGATTTCGCGCCTTCGCGGTGTGAACGGATTTGGGGAAGCTGGAGCTCTCGCCCTCGCGCCGCGCGCATTCGTCGTCACGGTTTGCAGTATACTCAAAGGTGGAGGGCGGCCCGTTTTCAAAATGTTGCTCTCGCCTCATCGCCGCGCACATTCGTCTGAAATGTCTGCAGCAGCTTCAAGGATGGAGGGCGGGTGGTTTAAAAACTGGAGCTCTCGCCTTCGCGACGCGCGCATTCGTCTTAATGGTGTGCAGCTGATTCAGAGATAGAGGGTGGTTAATTTTCAAACTATGCCTCTTACCTTCTCGCCGCGCGCATTCGCTTAAAAAGTTCGCAACAGCTTCAAGGATTCGAATGGCATAAGTCCCAGGAACCGTGATCTGAGTCGACTTAGGATTGCCGGGACGCAACAGTCACAGTGATTCGCGGCGTTGATGTCCCAAGAACGGTGTTCTGGCACGTTTTCGGATTGTCAGGACGCAACAGTTACGTTGATTAGCGACGGAACAGGCCCAAGAATGGTGTTTGGCACGATTCGAGATTCTCAGACGGTTCTCTTCAAATGGGGCACTTCCTGCATTGAGAATCCGCCGACCCAGTTGGCGTCAGTGAGAGGCCCTTCGACGCGAGGCCAGTCCAACCCAAACTGAAGTACGCCAGCCTTCTTTGAATCGTCGTCGCCGTGTCGTCGTATATAAGGGAGATCGAACCAACAAGGGGCACCGAACAATGTCGCAGTTGCGTCGAAGGGCAGCCCCTTCCCTTTTTTTCGCTGGCGGGCCCCGGGGGGGCCCAGGGGCTCCAGGGTCGTGACCCCTCTCCGCAGAGGTGGTTGCCCTGCCGCCCCGTCCTCGGCGGCCCCTGCTCCGGCCCCGGCCCCGTCCCCGGCCCTGGTCCCGGCCCGGGCCCCGGCCCCAGCCCAGGCCCTGCAGGCCCGTGTCCGGGACCCGGCCCCCGCCTCAGCCACGGCCCCGGCCCCAGCCCTAGACCCGGCCCCAGCCCTGGCCCCAGCCCTGGCCCCCAAGAGAGGAGGCTCCCAAGAGAGGGCAAGAAGGGCTCGAGCGTCAGCGTTGTCGCCGTCGTCGTCGCCGCCGCCACCGCCGCCGCCGCCGCCGTCGTCGTCGTCGTCGTCGTCGTCGTCGTCGTCGTCGTCGTCGTCGTCGTCGTCGTCGTCGTCGTCGTCGTCCTTCTGGGTCGGCGGCACCAGCCGCAAGGCATTCACAATGAGTTCTTGCAGGGACCAGAGGGAAGGTCCACTACACATAGCGGGCGCGTCTTCTCGGCGTGTTCCTCAATTTCGGCCTCTGGGGCCCGTCATCGGGCCCCGGGACCAGCAGCAAAAGATCCGGGACGCCGAGGATGTGGTCGGGAGTTCCGGGGCCGCGGATTGAAACAAACACATCGGAGCACGTATGGGTCCTGTTCCTCCTCCTCCTCCTCCTCCTCCTCCTCCTCCTCCTCCTCCTCCTCCACCGCCTCCTCTTTTGATGCGTTAAGCCAACGTTGGCTGGCGTGAGCCGTCGCGTCTTGATCCTCCTCCTGCTCCTCCTCCTGCTCCTTCTCCTCCTCCTCCTCCTTCTCCTCCTCCTCCTGGTTCTTCTCCTCCTGGTTCTTCTCCGAATCCCTCTCCTCCATGTTCCTCCTCCTCCTGCCACCTCCCTCCTCCCACCTCCCTCTTCCCTCGTCCCTACTTCCCCCTCCCTCCCCCCTCCCCCCTGCCCCCCTCCTCGGCCCTGCAATCAATTTGCTAAAAGACACGTACCCGCGGGCCGAACATGCAATCCTCTACGGGAGAACACCTAGCTAATTGCCTACCTCTTTCCACCTCACTCTTCCATCCTCCCTCATTTCTTGTCCTCCTCCTCCTCATCCTCATCCTTCTCCTCCACTTTCCCCTCGTCCTGACCCCCACTAAAATTATCCTGGCGAAAGACCCAACCATATGCAATTGTGAGTACCGCAATTGTGAATATCCTCTTCGGTGGCGCTCCCTATGGGGCCACGAAACGTGTGAGGGGTGTGCCGAAATGGGTGTGCGTGACGCATACGGGCACACCCACTGGGACCTTCGGTGGAGCTTCCTATGGGGCCACGAAGCGCGTGAGGGGTGTGCCGAAATGGGTGTGCGGGACGCATGCGGGCACACCCGCTGAGACCTTCGGTGGAGCCCCCTACGGGGCCACGAAACGTGCGAGGGGTGTGCCGAAATGGGTGTGCGGGACGCATGCGGGCACACCCACTGGGGCCTTCGGCGGAGCTCCCTATGGGACCACGAAACGTGTGAGGGGTCACGAAACGCGTGAGGGGTGTGCCGAAATGGGTGTGCGTGACGCATGCGGGCACACCCACTGGGGCCTTCGGCGGAGCTCCCTATGGGGCCGCGCAACGTGTGCAGGGTATGCCGAAATTGGTGTGCGGGACGCATGCGGGCGGCAGCACTGGGTCCTTCGGTGGAGCCCCCTACGGGGCCACGAAACGTGCGAGCGGTGTGCCGAAATGGGCGTGCGGGACGCATGCGGGCACACCCACTGCGGCCTTCGGTGGAGCTCCCTAGGAGTCCACGAAACGTGTGAGGGGTCACGAAACGCGTGAGGGGTGTGCCGACATGGGTGTGCGGGACGCATGCGGGCACACCCACTGGGGACTTCGGTGGAGCTCCCTATGGGGCCACGAAACATGTGAAGGGTATGCCGACATGGGTGTGCGGGACGCATGCGGGCACACCCACTGGGACCTTCGGCGGAGCTCCCTATGGGGCCACGAACGCGTGAGGGGTGTGCCGAATGGGTGTGCGGACGCATGCGGGCGCAGCACTGGGGCCTTCGGTGGAGCCCCCTGTGGGGCCACGAAACGTGTGAGGCTGTGCCGAATGACTGTGCGTCGTGGTGTCCTTTGGGGGCCCACGCGAAAACGTGTGAGGGGTGTGCCGAATTGGGTGTGCGTGACGCAATGCGGGCGGCACTGGGGGCCTTCGGTGGAGCTCCCTATTGGGCCACGAAACGTGTGAGGGGTGTGCCGAATTGGGTGTGCGTGACGCATGCGGGCGGCAGCACTGGGGCCTTCGGCGGAGCTCCCTATGGGGCCACGAAACGTGTGAGGGGTGTGCCGAATTGGGTGTGCGTGACGCATGCGGGCGGCAGCACTGGGGCCTTCGGCGGAGCTCCTATGGGGCCACGAGGTGCCGAATGGGGTGTGCGTGACGCATGCGGGCGGCAGCACTGGGGCCTTCGGTGGAGCTCCCTATGGGGCCACGAAACGTGTGAGGGGTGTGCCGAATTGGGTGTGCGTGACGCATGCGGGCGGCAGCACTGGGGCCTCCGGCGGAGCTCCCGATGGGGCCACGAAACGTGTGAGGGGTGTGCCGAATTGGGTGTGCGTGACGCATGCGGGCGGCAGCGTGGGGCCTTCGGCAGCTCGGCCTACGGTGGAGCTCCCTATGGGGCCACGAAACGTGTGAGGGGTGTGCCGAATTGGGTGTGCGTGACGCATGCGGGCGGCAGCACTGGGGCCTTCGGCGGAGCTCTTATGGGGCCACGAAACGTGTGAGGGGTGTGCCGAATTGGGTGTGCGTGACGCATGCGGGCGGCAGCACTGGGGCCTTCGGAGGAGCTCCCTATGGGGCCACGAAACGTGTGAGGGGTGTGCCGAATTGGGTGTGCGTGACGCATGCGGGCGGCAGCACTGGGGCCTTCGGCGGAGCGGGGCCACGAAACGTGTGAGGGGTGTGCCGAATTGGGTGTGCGTGACGCATGCGGACGGCAGCACTTGGGCCTTCGGCGGAGCTCCCTATGGGGCCACGAAACGTGTGAGGGGTGTGCCGAAATGGAGGAGGGAGGAGGG